GGAATTCCCGGGAAAAATCCCAGAATTCTGGGGTGTCCCCCAAAAAATCCCTGTTGTCTCTAGCGGCTTCAATAAACGGAATTTTGAAGGAGTTTTGGTGGTTTTTTTGGGGGGTTTGGGGATGTTGGGAGACACCCCGAGACTCAGAATTCCTGGGAAAATCCTGGAATTCCTGGGAAAAATCCCGGAGTTTCCAGGTGTCCCCCAAAAAAATCCCCGTTGTTTTTAGCGGCTTCAATAAACGGAATTTTGAAGGAGTTTTGGGGGGTTTTTTGGGTGGTTTGGATGTTGGGAGACCCCCTTCCCCACCCAAGACTCAGAATTCCCAGGAAAATCCCGGAATTCCCGGGAAAAATCCTGGAATTCCTGGGAAAAATCCTGGAATTTCACAGTTTTGCATAAAAAGAGGGCTGCGGTTTATGGGGGTTTCACTAAAGGGAATTTTGAAGAATTTTTGGGGATTTTTTGGGGGGTTTGGATGTTGGGAGACACCCCGTGACAGAATTCCCAGAAAAATCCCAGAATTCCCAGGAAAAATCCCGGAATTCCTGGGAAAAATCCCGGAGTTCCCGGGCGTCCCCCAAAAAAATCCCCGCTGTTTTTAGTGGCTTCAATAAATGGAATTTTGAAGGAGTTTTGGGGATTTTTTGGGGGTTTGGGGATGTTGGGAGACACCCCGAGACTCAGAATTCCCGGGAAAATCCTGGAATTCCTGGGAAAAATCCCGGAATTCCCGGGCGTCCCCCAAAAAAATCCCCGCTGTTTTTAGCGGCTTCAATAAACGGAATTTTGAGGGAGTTTTGGGGATTTTTTTGGGGGGGTTTGGGGATGTTGGGAGACACCCCGTGACAGAATTCCCAGAAAAATCCTGGAATTCCTGGGAAAAATCCTGGAATTTCACCGTTTTCCGTAAAAAGAGGGCTGCGGTTTATGGGGGTTTCACTAAAGGGAATTTTGAAGGATTTTTGGGGATTTTTTTGGGGGGTTTGGATGTTGGGAGACACCCCGAGACTCAGAATTCCCGGGAAAATCCCGGAATTCCCGGG